AAGCCCTCAATCACATCATGAAGCAATTAGAGCTCTCGGAAACCAATTTACTGTGGACTAAATGCAGCTGCTTCGGGGCTTGTGTTTTTACCACAAAATGACGCATCCATAAGTACGGTGATGAAGATAATGAATGGCTCAATTTTTGTTATAACAAATATTAATTAAATAAGAAATAAAATGATTATGAACTCAGGCAAATGATATATATGTGAAGGACTGATTACTTGATAGGATATTATTTTTTTAGAAAAGCTCCATGAATTTAGAATACACGCATAAATTAGATAAAATGAAAAAAACGGGAAAAAATACAAAATGGTTTAATTTAAGGAGAAACCACTGCTTCCATTACATGAATAAGCAGGCGTATATTTTATAAATGTATAAAAAATATCATTATAAAAATTATATCAAACAATTACATTAAATTTAAATTTTAGTTTCTTGAAGTTTAATATTAAATTATTTGTAAATTTAAAATTTATAATTGAAAATAAATTTTTAATAATAAAACGGTTGAAGTTAGTATAAAATTGAAAAATACAAAGAAAATTAAAGCTATAAAAAAGGTGTGCTTGCTTGCTAAAAACCTTCAAGTACCAAATTGGGCCAAAGTCTAACAAAAAGTTTTATTTGACAATGTCAGAAGCGCCTATCGTTTTTTACAAGGTGAAGCTAATTTATTATTTATTAATTTAATTACTTTGATTAATATTTTAAATTTTATTCAAGCAGTTAAAGGAGATATAACATTTTTAGAAAATCATTAGAGGTATTGAATTGTACACACAATTAAATCAGTAAATAAATCTCATGTTATTGACGAAGCAATTTGGGATACAAGAGTTCAACAATCTTTTATTTTTATCCTTCACTTTGTCAATCCATTTCCCAATATACAAATGGCCACCGCATGCAGTAATACAATCATACAATTTTAATGATACGAAAGCGTCGGCCAGCAACAAACCGACAGGTTTGCGTGACTGACCAAAGGGTCGCGTTGGCTGAACTCTGGTGCGCCGGGGTGGATTCCACCCCTCTGTATCCATGGCACCTTGCTATTTTCAGCGTCGTGTGCAGGTTTACTCAGCACAATAACACTTCCGCGTTTTCATTATTGTTCGAAATGGAATAAAAAGGGAGAACATTTTCCGTGGGTGCGCACGAAAATCTTCAATCAAGAGGAAAAATTTGAGCAGCCATATTTTATTACAGTAAAATAAAGCTTGCAACTTGATAAGCGTAAGAGAAACTTGTTCTTAGTTTGAAATTTATCCCCCTTAACCAACAAAATTTGGTATCACGTTCCTTTCTCAGTTTCGATTAGACCTGTGGGGAATTCAAGCAGTTTTCTTTAAAATTAATTGAGTCTTTAATTTTTATGAGCAGGCAAGAGAGCCAATCTCAATTAAAACCAACTTTTTATTTTGAAATTCTTGTTCCAGAATGGCAGGCGTGTAGCCTGGAATTTTATGGCTGGCCATAAAACCAAATGAGTCTCTCTCTCAGCCTCCGAAATTCAATTCGGGACAATCGGCCTCGTGTGCGTGTGTACGTGAATATGTTTTATTGAAAAGTGATTGTGCGCGGGCCTGAGAGAGCCAGAGACACGCCCAAGCACCTGAATAAAATTTAGATTGTTGACCATTCATAATGAGATATCAGTACATATGTTTTTTTTTTGCTGTCACGACGAGTTTGCGAGAGCTGCCTTTTTGGCTCCACAAAGGACACACGATGTTTGTTACTCTCATGAGTTGGTCACTTCCATACAAATAATGTTGCACACAAAGACGATGCTTTATTCATTTTTATTTGCAAGTACTGAAATAAATGGCTTAAGCGAACGTTTCTTACAATAAAAGAAAAAAATTACTTATATTGGTAAAAATTGTGGGCCCTAAATTTTTTTCAATAATAAAAAAAACCCACAAAATCATTAACATGATTATTTTAAAATACTACTAATGTTTGCATAATTAAATTTTTTGGTATAAAAAAAATTAGTCACATAATACATGTTTATTTAAATGAAATCATTAATTTATTTAATAATTAAATTTGAAAAATTATTTAGTTTCATGAATTTAAATTTTATTGATATAAAATATTTGTTTCATATAAAATACATTTTGCAATGATCTAAAATTACCCTTAAGCATTTTTTAAAAAATTATTTATTGTACGCACAATTGTATTTCACAGTTAATTTGTTACTAATACTTATTGATACGTGGTTATGATAAATGAAAAAATCACACTCACATTATTATTAATTTGAATATTATGATTAATTAGAATCAAATATAAGGTAATAATTCAATATTTGATCAATCTCCGTAATTCTTTCCTTAACAACCTTGCCAATAACACAACGATTATGAAGTTGTCAAAATTTTCAGCAGTCGGAATGCATGCAAGATTAATGATTATACATGAATGAGTCGCGGGGAAAAGTGCAGCCACAGTCGGAGGTCAAAAAATTGCTTAGTCAAAACCGAGCACTTTTTTGTCACGAGTTTGAAGACAAAAACAGGCAGTGTCTTGCAACAACGACAGGTTATTATTAATCAATAGGGCTTTGCATCGAGAGGCAGAGCAGGGCCGCGGGCCAAATCGAATGGAAATGAGACGAGATCGGTTCGAAAGTGAGAGTGTGCGACGTGTGCCTGTTATCTTCGCCTGAGTGGCCGTGCCGGTTCAAGGTAGAGGTCACAGAATCAACTTTTATAATAACAACAAAAAATACGCGCAGTGTCACATTTCATAGATTCAATTAATATTGACCTGCTGAAACCTCCATCATTATAAATCTGACATCATTTGCAAAAAATTTACACAATGCAATTTTTATATTTTAAATAAATCTTCACAAAATTGTCACTTTTCTTTCAGATTTTGCAATAAATTCAATGCTAGGAAATTTTTTGTTACAAAAGAAGATGAGTTTAAAATAATTGTAATACTATACAAATTTTAAATAATTTTCACAGGATTAATTTTAAGGATAGAAAGTTACAGGAAAAAATGGACTGGCAAATTTGAGAGAATCACAAAAAATTAATTTTCTATTCTATTGGCATCTGCAAAAAAAGCCAGAAATAAAATAAGGATAAATAACACTTCTATTTTGACCAACGATTCCTTTCTTTTCAAATAAATTGTTTTCACCAATAGATTGTAAACAATAAGAACAAATAAGCAACAATAAAAATAAATAATTGAAGTTGCGAGCTTCAAGATGAAAGAGCTTTATATTATTAAAATTATAGAAATCTTAAAATTCAAAATGTGGTTTTCAAAAAGAATAAATTGTTTATAAATTAATTATTAATCAAAATTATTGCCTCTTTCGAATTGCAAAAAATTTGACGAAATCTTCTTGCTTATCTACAGTCTTTTACAAAAATAAATTTAAACCTTTTGCTTGTTTATATATCTTAACATTTTATTTGCAATTAATTAATATATAAATTTAAAAAAAGGAAGAATTCTTCTTAAAATATCTGAAGAATGACTGAAATTCAATTTAATAAAACAAAAATAATGGACTTTTGATTTCAGTCATGCAGATCACCAAAGAACTGAAGTTGATTTCGCTGAAGCAGTTATTAATAAAACGAATTCTCAGGCGCACGACTGAAAGCATAATTGTTTTGCCAGGTCGAGCAGAGGATAAATCTTGCCGACACATTCCTCAGCGAAAGCCTAAACGCAGGGTTATGCGGAGCACGCCGAGCGATTATTCTTTTATAATTGAGCAATAAAAAATAATGCGGCGCAGCTGGAGTTGAGAGCTGAAAAATCATTGCCAAAATATATCCGTCCAAAAGCAACTCAATCTAAATAATAATAATATTGCCTAACGTCACTTATTTGTGAAAAACAAATCCAGTCGGAGGCTTGGGCAAGATTTTTATTTAATTTGCTGTGGCCGCTTTTGAAATTAGGCCTATGTTGCGCAATTGGCTCACGGTTGAGAGCAAAAACAAGGTGCGGGTCCTGCTGGCCACGAGCGCTCTCGGGCAAATCAATTTCCGAATAAAATTCGAGGTGTCTTAATTTTTGGCTTGCAGCGCGGACAAGTGCGAAATTATTCTTTTTAATGGCAATTTATACTCGCTACTGAACACTTTTGCGAGAGACGTGCGCATGCAAAAAAGACCGAGCAGAGAAATGAATGGGACAGGGCTTTTTCACTCTTAATGTAAGCAGAGATGCTGATCTTTTTTATGCTTTTTATGGCAAGCCTTAAAAATAAAAAAAAAATTAAAAAAAACGGCGATTTTCGTAGATTCAAAGTATATGTATTCACTTAACAATTTCTCTTTTTACCTTTATTATCGACGACTGCAAGAAGTCGTTGCAATAATTGAATTGTGCAAATGGATGTTGGAATATTCTTTTTTTAAACCATTATGTCCCCTTTTCTAAAGCCGACCAGGAAGTTAACGCAGAGAGATCTGTTTGATTTTCACTGATATTAAGAAGAAAAATTCAATTTTAAAAATTACATGAAATGATTCATGCTTTAGTCGATTTGGTTGTAAAGTCTAATTAATGGATATAAAATAATGAACAAGTTTGAGCAGGGAACCGTCTTCAGCAAGATTAATCAAATGATAGATAATTACTATTGGTAGGCTAGGGAATTTATATTTTTTTTTTATCAAACTTTTAAAACAGTCTTTTTGTTGCAAACGTATAAATGAGTTTAAATATTAAGTTAGGATTATTAAAAATTAAAAAAAACTGATATATCAAAAATAATAATAGAATTAATGATTTAAAACTTAAAATGAGATAAATATTTTGAATCCAATATAATTTAACAGAATAATTTTATTAGTTCTAGTTTATAATAAAACTAATAATAAATTTTAGCACAAACTTGCAAAATTCTAGTAAATGTACCAATATACAAACATCCTTAAAAACTAGCTTTTGTTGTAAAAATTTCAAACTAAAAAATGGAAAATAATAATGTTACTCACCTGAATAATGGTCAGTGCAGAAATTTGGTATCCACAAAAGAACCAATTCAGTTCGCCACCAAACGGCGTCGAAACACTACTTCTTGTGTGAGTGTATTCACGTGAGTTGCGTCGAACCGCGAGTAGCGTTGTTTTTTTCTCGCGTGCTTCTCCGCACGCCTGGCTTGGACTGACTGGCGAGGTGCACTAACTGAACTGACTAACTTTCACTGGTGCCTATGTATGTTCTGTAGCAGCACTTCCCGCGCCGGCCGCGCACTCGACGTTGACTGCCGACAACAATACGCACGCATACCAGAGCCCAATTCACACGCATGCGCTTCGATTTAATTTTATTTTCCTTTTAAAATGCCACCCACGCATGAATTCCTTTCTTAAACAAGTCCTTTAATTAAGTGGTTTTTCCAAATCGAATATTCTCGGCGCCGTTTTTTTTCTTTTGAATAAGAGAGGATGGCGCGCGCATGGCCTTCTCTTGCAGTTTTGGTCATTGTTACCATGGCAACCGAGCCAAGAGACGCCACTTCTCGAGCCTGATTATTCATTCAAATGACACGTCTCAAAGAATTCATTAAAATATATCACGAGAGCAATCCTACAGTGGTGGTTGGGAAACTTGATGTCCCAATAAAATATGAAAATTGATCATTTTTTTAAGCCTATTTTTATTCTTTCCAAATATAGCTTTATTGCCTCCTCTGATCTCCAAAACATCCCGAGTTTATTACCGAACTCTAAATTTAATTTTCTGAATATTGATTTTGTTGACCCCAGAATAATTATTCTCACAACTTCCAATAAAAATTTCCTTTTTCACTCGAGTTTTGTGTTTATTTTTACTTAATATTGTCATCTCTTGCCCCTTTACCTGATCAAACTTATACTAAAAAAGATGAATTTCCAATTTGAATGAATTAATCACGATTTTATTTTGTTAAAACTGATAGATACTTGTATGTTCTCTTTATTTACTATTAATTTATTTTTTAGTTTCTTAAAGTGTTTTCTAGACATTAATTTATAGCTTTTTTCTGTTCAATTTGTTTAGATTTTTTTTTAATGTTTGTATGAGCAGTAAAAGACATATGAATCTAACTAATAAACTGAAAATTAATCAATAATATAATATGAAGTGTTTAACTCCTACGAAAAAATTATGTATTGGAATGAGCAAAACTTTTTGCACTAATTATTGTAAAAATGCTGTTCCGCAGCCATGTTTTGGAAATGAAGATTAATTGATTCTTTATCCGAAACTGGCATCAACCAAGTCGTTGACCTTTCAGAGCTGAAAATTAGTCATGCCCGTCTGTAATGAGTCGAGAACATGCGAGAGGAAAAGTGGTGACCGACGCCCGCCTGCCTGCATTTCATGACCCTAACATTAAACTTGGCCCCAACGAATCCACAACTCACGGTCGACCACGCCAAAAATTAATACATTTTTGCGCATCAATTATTCAAGCGCGAGATAAGATCGCTTTGATATCAATCTGCCCAATTTAGGGTTCATCAATTATGCAATTATCGAACCTTTTTTCTTTGAATATTTTCTTTTTTGGAAAAGTTGCAAGTTCACTATTAAGATTAAACAAACAAAAAACACAATACGAATTGAAAAAAATACTAAAAAAACTTATTAATTATTTAAAAATGAAATTATTAAACTTTTTTCAGGTTTTTTGTAATTTTAAAATATTTTTGTATTTAAAATTTAAATTTAGTTTAACCAAAACAAGTTTTATCATATAATTTCATTAAAAAAAGGATTTTGGAAAAAAATGATATTGAATAATTTTAAGTTTTTTTTAATACTTACCTTTATACTAATGTTATTGCGTCCAGTTTTCCTCAGTCCTTCCAAAAAAATGCACGGCCACCTGTTTAATAAGTGTGAGGGTTCATTCACCCCTGTGCGTGTCAGCTGGTCAATATTTTGAAAACGCGTCACGCAAAACTCCCCGCGTGTCTGCGGCTAGGGTTGTTCACTCCCGCATATTTATTATTCAGTGTGGCTAAAATGAATTCGATCCCTAAATTCCCAGATCCGTGACCAGAACATTTAATGAATTAATAAAAAGATAAAAAAGTAAAATATACCACCATGATCATATTATATGAAAAATGTGAATAGTAAAATTAAACTTCGTAAATCTTCAAATTTTATTATTTTTTAAACAATAATATATTTTAAAATATTTTTTGCTATGCTCAATGATGCTAAAAACATGAGCCGAACTTGAGCCGAACTTTTACTTTTCTTTGTTAGGTTGAAAGTCCTAAACCCGACATCTCGAGGTAGAGATTGAAAGCACGGAAGGTATAACACTCTTAAGCGACCTCTACGAAAGGAAAGGGAACGCAAAGAGCTAACCTGTGATGCTGACTAAACCTTATGACTTATTTGCGAGCAATCTCGTCTAGACGCCACTTACACAGTAAATTTTGCAACCATCATTTTCAACTTGCTAAACCAGATCAGCAGCCAGCCATCAACTCATAAATAGGCATACTAAATATTTCAATATTTTATCCCCCATACATGGAATAAAAACGAGCTAGGTTGCCAACTATTTGCATATAATTAAATATTTTTTTTTATCGACAGTTCTATCAACATTTTTCCTGCAGAAATCAAGATTAATTACCTAACAGTTATTATTGCTGTATATTCAATGAAGCTGGTTAAAATTTTAATCCTCTTCTCCAGCACTATAGTTTCCATCTAGTATGAAGACAAAGAAAGTGTAACATTTCACAACTAAAAAAAAGTACTGCAAGGTTTTTGCAACAGTTTAATGACACAGGAAAAGACTCGCGCGTTTATTATTAGAATTATTAATAACTGACAATGAGACGAACCAACTAGTCGCAATGCACTCGGATCAGTTCCCTCTTTCTATGCAAATTCTCGTTTGACTTTGATCTTTGATCAACCGCAGAGGTGTGCACTCTTGAGAGGAATCATTCACCTTTAGACAAGTACCCTTGGTAACGGTGAAGAGCAGAAATTAAATCTTGGGATGAGCGGAAAATCGCTAATTTATTTAAATTTCCGCGGCATCAAATAAAAAGAGATTTTTACTACTTTATTAGTAAAAAATCCCATTTCTTCAATTTCTTGATACGATGAAAAATGATTAAACCACAGAAACAAAATTTACTTTAAATTTAATTGAATGTTTATAAATGAATGAAGTAACTCGATTGATTTATTTAACAAAAAGCTATTGCGTGTATTTATTCATTTTAATCACTTTGTTTTAATTCTTCTTGATGAAAAATGAAATTACAATCAGGCTTAAACTTATTTTGGTAATGAAATAACTCTACAACTTGCATAAATAATCCATTTGGCCAGGAAATTCGAAAACAACATTAGGGGTTTGTTTTGTAGCTACTTATGCAACACGCCCGACATCTCTGCACAGCAAATTGCGTCCAATATCAAAAAGGAAAATGATTCACAGTCATTGTTAGTAATCGCAATACCTATTATGTTACTCATCAAATCTTGGCAGAAATTACTCCAGGTTTTTTTCTTTTAAAATCAACCATTCCTAAGTAAGTGCATGTAATTGTTTTGAAGATGAAAAAAAATGGATTTTTCCACAAACAATAATTAAATAATCTTTTTCTTCAGAATGAGCTAGAAAAGCAGGTATTTGAAAGAGAGCGACTCGTCTCGGCAGAGATAAAAATAACAAAAACTCCCGAGTCACCTCTGAAGATTTTATTTAATATAAATATGTTGTATATATTTTTAAATGCGAGTTAATTATTGTTATAGACCGGTTTGGCAACTTCCTGGTATTCCCAAAAGCAAGTGTTTGGTCAAGATTAAGGGGGAATTAAGGGGGTTTGGTCGTGTGAAACGGCCCGTGAACAAAAATTCTTTCTGTCTCCTTCTGTTTCGTGTAATTACTGCATTTTTTTCTTGTTTGTGTCCCTCTATAGAATCACAGCCACATTTATCCTTGGCATTAACCTTGGCGGGGCAGCTAGCAATAATCAGCTCAGAACTCCACAGCATCACGCCTTATCGTTCAGGTAGTACCACGTGCCCCCTGAGTACCGGTGGCTGGTATAAAAGGTGGCATTAATCGCGCTCCCTCAACACAGTTTGCCCTCAACTCACAGAAAGATGACACTGGCGCGGGTGAGCTCCTGCCTGGTGGCACTCGCCGTCCTCTTCAACGCAACCTCTGCTAGAAGGCTCCGTAAGAAATTAAATTATAGTTATTAATTTATTTATTATTGACATTTATTGATATTGTCTACATTTTTACTGTAAATTATTCTAATAATTATTTGCCATTTTCTTATTTCTATTATAAAATATAATGGTAATTTCAATTAAAAATTTATAATTTCTATAATTGAAATTGTTTAATGTAATATTTTATTTTACACACCAAAAAATTTGCAAAATTAGTATTTTTACGTGATACAAAACACTACATGATACAAAATAGAATAATCAAATAAAATTGATTTCAATTCTAAATATTTGTCTCAGTTCTAGCTTCATTAATTTTTATTTTATTTAATTATTTATGATTTATTAATGCTATAAGGCTTAAAAAAATTTATGTGTTTGAATATTATTGAATTATAATTATTTTATATTTTGGAAGCACATGCAAATCAATGCAAATATACATTGATTAATATCATTATTTCATCAGATCAGATTCGCATGTATAAAATCCATACCAATTTGCAGAGCTACAAGAATATCTTAAGAATGCTGATTGTGAGATAAATTTCTTTCGGAACATTTTTTGTAGATTTCTTTCTGTAAAAATGAATCAACAAATATATAGTTACTGATTTAAAAAAAATTTTGAAAGTAAGCGAAGTATTATTATTTTTCAATATAATTTTATTAATTTGATATCAAGATTGCAATAAAATTACTTATTAATACTAAATTTAAACATTGTCAATTATTTCTGTTTTAGCTAATGGCATCACACCCTGCTCAAAAGACGAGCCTGACCTGAATAGGTGTGCAATTATTAACGGAAGGGCGGCCATCCCCAATTTATGGAGAGGTAAAATAATAAAAATTTTAAAGCGTTTATTGTTGTGGAGTTCTAAATTTGAATTATTTTTATTTGCAGGTATTCCTTCATATGGGGTGCCTGTTTTGGACCCATTGCGCATTGATGTTCTGGACATTGCTGAGCCGCCCGCGGACTCGCCGAAGCAAGTTTCGCTCGCCCTCAAAATGACGGACGTCGACGTTGTTGGTCTCAGAAACACCGAGTTGCAATATGCCAAGTAAAATATTTTTTATATTATAAATAATATTATCTAATTATTGACTGTTTATTTCAGAATTGATCTTGCTAAAGAAAAGATGTCTTGGAAATTAACCATTCCGCGACTTTCTCTTCTTGGAAAATACGTGATCAACGGAAAAGTGCTTCTTTTGCCTCTGAGGGGCCGTGGAGATATGAATATTACTCTGGGTAAATTGTTAATGGAAGAAAAAAATATTTAATGAAAAATACTTCGCTCCTCTGCAGACAATTTAAATGTACACTACGCTTTTGACATGGGGCTGGCGCCTGGTAAGAAGGGGGAAATTTACCTCAACCCTAAGAACGCGAAGTTGGACTTTGACACCTCAAGGGCGTATATCAACCTGGAAAACCTTTTCGATGGGGACAAAGCTCTGAGTAAGGAAAAAACATTGGATTTCTTACACTTTTTTAATTCATATTTATTTATACTGATTATTACACTAATTAGAGTAGAGAAATGATCACCAATCAAAAATGTTTAGTCAAATTAATTTTCATCACAAATCAAATGAAGAGAATAAAAAAATATTAAATTTAAGAATTAAAATATTAGAAAACTAGAATATGAAAAAACACTAAATTGCACCACAAACTTCAATTATTTTTTATTAACAAGCATTTGATGTTTGTTTAAAGTTCAAATTATAGCTTACAACACAATATTGCAATTTTTAATCACAATCAAATTAATTTTGCAACTTTTCTCAATGCAGGCGCGCGAATGAATGAATTCCTCGACGAGAACTGGCGGGAGTTGGTGAGCGAATTGGGCCCACCAATTGCCGAAGCGCTGAACCAGGTGCTCACCAGCATGATGACCAACATCGCCCGAACAGTGCCCTACAAAGAAATCTTCCCCGAGACTGCCCGAAATTAGTTGTTTCGTCCTTAAATGTCATCAAATAGATCATGGTGCTGTAAATTATTGTGAATCGTGCCCCATGCCAAAAATGATAATTGTAAAAACTCGTCCACTGTGAATATTGTGATCTTCATAAGCTACTGACTAAAGTAAAGTCAAGTGGTGCATTTTTACACCTCAAGCTCCGACTTAAGCTAAAATCGAAACAATGATGTGTATTATATCTCTCAATAAAAGATGCTTTGCTAATATAAATAATAAACTAATATAAATAGTGGGCATTTTTATTAGCAAGTGCATTTTTCATTTTTGTGAATGCAAATTTTATAATCTGCCAAGAATTTTTTGTGTCTTGGGTTATATTCAAATATTAAGTAATCAAAACGCAAAGTTTGATATCTTTTTAAGAACAATTATTTTTAGTGAAAATCTTTTGTTCAGAAGCTTTTGTTAATTTTCTTATTAAAATTGATATTTGCAAAAAGAAAAAAAATTAGCACTTTGGTATTGAGGAATAACCCGTTCACATTTTTAGTTTTTTTTTATCGTCTTTTATTGCGACCAGCATCATTATTTTGTAATTTTTGACCAGTAAAAAGTCAGAATGCCGCCAAATCCATTTGAGAGTTAATTTCTTCTCTCCGCAGGTTGCTAAGAGCTAGGTTGTTGCACTTTTCTCGTCATCGCTCCTAATGTCTAGAAAAAGAAGAGACTCTCCCGGGACAGCGTCTCTCTTATTTTGGCTAATGTACCTCTAGGCTCTCAATTTGCACTCTAATAGTGCTCAACGTGGCCATTAAACAACAAAGGATTCAAACATTAACCACGGATGACTGAGCAAAATGCAAGCAAAAAGCAGTCGTTGAGAGATCGGGCATCTTCTAATTTTCTGTGATAATTGCTTGGAATAACTTGCTGGCCTTGATTCTGAGCATTTCGTCTCTGGGAGGATGAAATTGTCTCCATGCAAGTTTTGCAGACAAGCACAGTTACAGGTTGCAATTCAATAAACTAATTTATTAATAGGGGAAATTCATAGATTCCTTTGAAATGTCCAGAATAAAAAATAATATAATAATTTGAAAAAAAATAGAAATAAAAATAAATTAATTTCATCATCAGAAATTTACTTTTAACTTAAAAAAAACATTCCTCCTATGAATAAAAACAAAATTAATAATAAAAATTATTATTGACGTTCCTTTTATATTTTACTGTTGTCATATATTATTTATTTTTATGTTAAAATTGAGCTATTGGTATCTCTGAATGTAATTTGCGTGTAAAGGAATTTTTTAAATATATTTTTTCTCGCAAAAATAGATTGTATAATAAAAACAATATTAAAATAAATTTTTCGCATTGCCAAAATTTAAAAATTGTAAGCGGAAATAGTTCTACCAAAATATGCTAATGAGACAGGAATTCCAATGCACACCCATTTACAATGTTTGCAGAGCTCTTCAGGTTTGCGACACAACAGACCGTCGAAGCCGTTAAACAAATTGAAAATAACTCTTTTTTATGTTACAATCAGACATGACGTATGTTAATGGAATACGTCCTCATCAAAATCTCCTGTCTTATACATGGTATCGGAGCGCAAGGTCGATTTAATCAATTTTTGTTTCTGAACAGTTCGTTGAAAATCATAAAAAGAAGACAGAGCCAAATGGAATATAGCCTCTCTATTTCCTACTTTGAATCCTTCTGAAAAGATGCTGATTTGCGTCACAAAACTTGTTATGCCACTTCTTGTAACTCATTTTTTATGTAAGCTGATTGTGAAGTGAAAATCTATTACCTATTTCACGCCCAGCTCGTTTAAAAAAAAAAATCATTTTGGGCAGAGATAGCCTTGTAGTTCACTAATGAAGTTATTTTATTTTTTAACTAAAATCGATTGGGAATTTTAAAACTTTATTTGATTATTTCGAGAGAGGATAAAGTTAAAAAAATTAAAATAAAAAAATTTTACATAAAGATAATTTTATCATTTAATTTCAAGCTTTTTGGTGCCCAGGAAGGCGTAAAAAATGCTAAAAATGTGCTGCACGCAATTCGTTTTGAGCCCGGCAGTGAAAAATTGAATTCGTCAGGAAGAATTTTAGTACTTTGATTGCGCCTTAATCATTTCCTGCCGACAATTGTATAATTTGTTCATTGTTTTTATTTAAATATGATCTTGGCATTTGCGAAGAATGAACAAAAAGAAGTTTAAGCGGCACCTTGGAATACGTACTGCAGTATGTATACCTTCTGAGGCGAGCAGCGCGGGCAGGGATTTGGACGCTGGCGGGGACCTGAAGGCGCCGCGTAACACACTCGCCTATAAAAGCAAGAGTGGACTGTAACCGTGCGGTCACAAACGAGCCAGAGACTAATCTGTATGATGCAGTGCTCTAAGCAGATGATGTGGGTTTTCACCCTGACCACCGCCTCGCTTCTCGCATCCCTCGAAGCCAGAAAATTACGTGAGTCAATTTGTTAAAAATCAAAAATTCTATAATTGTTTTGAACGATTTATATTTTATAAATTCTGAAAGTAATATATTTATACATGGATTTTTCAAAATTAAATATTTTAAATTATTTTAATTATTTACAATTTTTTCTGGGTAAATCTGGGAACGGCAACATTTCTTGATTACGATTTAATGTGTTGAGCAACGCAGCTCAGGACTCAAGTATTTCCGAGTGAAATTTACTCCACCGGCCGTTGCATATGCACGCGAAAAGAAGAAAGTATATTATGCGTACAAGAAAAGTCTCGATCTTGCCTATCTATCTATAAATAAATAAATCTCGTGTTAATTACGCGGTAGTGTCGCTGCTTTTCTCATGTATTTTCAAGATGCAGATCTTTTTTTATGAAAATATGTGTTTGCCGATACAAAAAGAAGTGAAGACTTGTTCTGTGAAAATTCCGACACGTAGGGGGGAAACCAGCTGAAATAATTGTTGGCGACCTTGCGTAAAATGTATTCCTGATTGACAATTTAATCATATAAAAAACCAGCCCCGCCAGTTATGCAAAATTGACTTAAGATTAATTTATGAAAAAGTAGTGATATTATTTTTTAAATATAGTTAATTTCAAATTTTTTTTTGCATTAAAATGGTTTTGGATCTGAATTGTGTCTCTTTTAGCTACAATTATTTTTGGTTTCCCAATCTCGTATTTTTTGTATGTACTGATAATTGTTCTTTATTGCACTGCACAGCCACCGGACTGAAAGGTTGCTCGAGAAACGATCCTGACCTGAATGCCTGCCTGCTGCAGAGCGCCAATGCTGCCGTCCCCTACATGAGCAAAGGTACATATCGCTTTTCACCCTGAAAAATTGATCAACTTTTCCTCCTGTCCGTTATGATTCCAATGTCAATCGGTGCATTAGTCACGTTGTTGCTCTTCGTTAATTGCATTTTATTTTTGCACTCAGGAATTCCGTCTTATGGGGTGCTCCCCATGGACCCGATGCGCATCGACGAAATCGCGATCCTCGACAAAGGCGCCCAGAAGCAACTGGCCTTAAATTTGATCATGAAAAACGTCGACCTGGTCGGCCTGAGGAACGTCAAAGTGAACAAAATCTCGTAAGATTGTTTTGCTTTTCTCTTTGCTGCAATTGCTAATTATCCCCTGGGGCCGAATTCGAGAGTGCTGAAAAAGTTTCTTCGCGCCTTAATTGAGCAACTAATGACAACTCACTCATTCTCTCTGATGAGTGCGACATAATGGTCTGCAGAGACGCCGCTACTTGTAATTATCGGCGGACGCATATGTATGCAATTGATGACCGACTCGTAGCCAATCATTATCAGAGTAAATTTTTGGGTCACTGTGACAGGAGAAAAGAAACACGGAAATTGCATTGTCCATTTTTTAGTGATTAGAAAAATCTTTTTCGTCATTGGTGTTTAGCAAAATCTCATTATTTACTTTATTATTGTTGCTAATTAAAAGCTTTATAAAATATAATTATTATTCTGAAGTAAATAAGATAAAAGATAATTAATTTATAGAAATTAAAAACGAATCTATTATTATTGAAATCTAATTTTCGATAAACATTGCACTACTCATTAAAAATAATTCATTGTTGGAAGGAAAATATGGCACAATTTTTATGTGACAGAGAAAAAAAATTGTCAGAAGAAAACAAAATTGTTTGACAGAAAATAAAAAAAACATTTAGTTGCAAAATGATGTTTGCATCGCATTTAGCGTTGGGGAAACTTTAAAATAAGTTTGATGGTGCATTTCCTTAGCAAAAAAGCTTATTTTCATCACCGCTGGTCCCGAAAACATGTCTGCCTAGTCCAAACAAGAGTTGCACCCCTAGCAAGAGAAATGCTTAATCATAAAGAAATCTTCTCTTCATAAAGTATCAATTAATTTGGAATTTAGTAGTGAGTTTGGAAGTGTATTTCTTTTTAATGTTCCCTTATGTTTTTCTCAGTTTGAGCCCTGACGGTGGCCCTGCATCATGGAATTGTAACACACCGTATTTGTCTCTAATTGGCCAGTACGACGTTTCTGGAAAGGTGCTTATCTTGCCAATTCAGGGCAAGGGTGATATCAACATCACGATGGGTTCGCAATTTGGTCGCAGAAATTTTGCACTCTTTTGATGATGTTTTTTACAGAGAATGTCGAGTACACATATAAATTTGACGTTGAAAAATTCACCAAAGGCACCAAGACTGGCATCCGCCCCGCTAATCACAGCCTGGACTTCAAAACGTCCAGAATTACGATGCGGCTAGAGAATTTGTTCAATGGACAGAAAGAGCTGAGTAAGTTTTCGTAAAACGTTAAATATTTAAATGTACAAATTTAATTTTAATTAAACAGTTATTAATACGTTTAATTCTGTTTTTTTTTAAAATAATAATAATAATGAAAAATTTAACGTGTTTTTTATTACGAGTATTTTAAGTATTTTTTTCATATATATTTTTTTGGTAATGTAAAGTATAAGTTAGTTTATATATTATTATGCAAGTCAATTTAATGTATGTAATTGGTTTCAAAGGTAAACACTGAGTTTCTTCAGATTCCTAGTGCCTAAACAATATGCTAGTAAAATATGAATCACAAAAATTAATAACATGAATCTAATCTACTGTGTATCAATTTAAACGTGTAGACCAGAACAAAATAAACGGTTGATTTCAACTTCAGATTTAACCAATGTTTGTAAATTATTTTTTATGCATTTTGCAAACTCATGAAAGTTAACATTTATTTATTTGTTTTTTCAGGTGACCAGATGAACGTTTTTCTGAATGAAAACTGGCAAGAGCTGACCAACGAGTTGGGCCCTCCTATTGCCGAGGCTCTGAGCGCAGCCACCAACCACCGCGTGGAGGCGATCATGAGACTCGTCTCCCTCGAGGAAATGTTCCCCGATAATTAGAGAATGACTCTTGCTCACCACTTGCACTCAGACCATCTCACAGTTAAAAGTTCCTCCTCACCAATCCTTCACGCGTACAAAACTTTTTTTGAATTATATTTGTGAAGTGCACAAACAACAACGTTGCGGCTCTGTGGATCAGACGCCGCACCAACACAATTAAGAACTGTGCACTTGATTATTTTCTGAAAGCTGTTTCGATCTTTGAAAAATAATATACATAACTATTCTAATATAAATGCTCGGTATTTTATTGGTAATTTTTACGGAATAATATTTCATGCTCACTGTTTTCACCTTTTTTTATTCCAGGAATGTAATGGGAAAGAAATTTGTATCTCTGCGAAAGTAATTATTTCCTTCAAAAAATCGTTCTGGCGTACACGAGAAACTATTTTTCTAAATATTTCTACATATTTTGGTAAATTTAAATAAGAACTGTGGCATATAAAATGCATACAAAAATGAACATACCTCCAATAAGCATACATATTTTTTTTAAATTCATTTATTTAAATTACATTTTGCATAATGTAAAAAAATTAAAATAGAGCCCCGGTTTGCAATTTTGCTCTTCTTTTTTTCTATTTTGTAATAACCATTTACTGATTGTGAGATAATCATATCTCAAAGCTATTCGTGCATAAGATTTTACTTTGATTTAATGTGCCGAAATTGTCTAATTGTAAGCTGACAATACGGATGTTGTGTCTTTTGAAGGGCGTATTTAATGATCTTGAGAGTCGTTGAAAGTGGTAGACGAAATTAACACACCAACGTCATGACTTTTTTGCTTCCTCACTAAATGAATTTCAGCGCAAACGAGAATATGACTTTGAAAAGACAATAAATATATTGCAAGATAAAACAATATTCAATTTTAAAATTCACTTGAACTTTTTCCCTGTGTTATTCAAAGTTAAAATTCTGCAAAGTACACAAATCAGTCAACATTTTTGAGAAAATTTTTAACTTCAATAATGCTACTTATTAAGATCTGAAAATTGCAATTTTGTTTTTATAATAAGTTTATATAGTAAAAAAAAACGAATTTTTTTTTGCTTTCTGGCGTGATTAGATCATTATAATTCCAAATTTATATAGAAAAACATATAATATGAAGGAAGTGTATTTTGTGCTTTGGAGAAAAGACATAAAATTTCATAACATTAACAAGAAGATGCTGTGAAGATAAAAAATAATAAACACAAATTTTAGGCTAAAATGCAGAAGTGACAGGAAGTGCGTGCTAAAAACACAGATTATTAGCAAAAATCTGACACGGATAATGCAAAAAAAACTTAAAAAAGCTTTTCAAGGCTGACCGCAGTAATTACACCAAAAAAGGCTAAAAATTTTGTCGCACACAAATGCGGAAGATGACAAGAAAAATATGTCTTGTTTTATATTTCAAATTCAATTTTATTGCAAAATAAAAGAGACACGGGGAAAAACTGGTTTCAGAATAATTACCATAATATTCGCATTTTTCACAACTCATTCGTTTTTTGGTAATTAAGCGAGGTGAGAGTATAAGAATTGGATTGGTTTTAGTCGGAATTTATAGCAGAGTTCGTAGTGGTATTTATGTTAACATGTCAATGTCAGGGTTGGTCGCGAGCGCCGCCAACATCTTAGCCGCGCGTCTCTTTAGCGTTGACGCAACTCAATAATTTTTTTTATAGTGATATTTTTTGGCCACAAAACTCAGAGATTGTGGTTGGACGGTCCATGCAAATAAAAAGCAAGAAGCCTCTTAAGTCATTCGCCGGAGGTTTTGCGCGTAAAAATCAGCCGGCTCGTTGCGACCGCAAGACCAGTTTTCTTGGTTTCTTTCTGCGAGTGAGTGAGTTTGTTTAAGAAAGTGACCTTCAGGTGCAGCCACGCAGCGTCAGCCAGGTATTCCGTAAGCGGGCTCGCTTGCAGGTGGTGGTACCCGAACGTATAAAACCCCCGAAAAAAGGAACCGGCTGCTTTTCGTCGCCCAACAATGCAACGAGTCAGGACGAAAGTGACTTTGTGCGTCTTCCTGCTGGCCCTTCAGCTGGCGACTGCCGCGAAAAATTCCAAAAAGCTTCGTAAGTATTTCTTTGAAGCAATAATTTTCAAAGGAATTGTTTTTGTACAAAAATTTTATTTTACAGCTTTATTACATTATTATTTTAGATTAGCAGTGTAATTACTAATTATAAAAAAATTAAAAAATGTAAATAAAAAGTCTATTTATTGCTTAGTAATTTTATTTAAAAGTTTTTAATTTGATAATTTTTTTATTAATAATTTTTGGTTTATAAATTTTACTTCTGAATAATTCTTATTATACAATGTGTTATGTTCAAACAAAATAAATTGATGAAAATATTGTAAGTCAAAATTATAAACTTATCATCAACTTATTTAATAAGTGTCTACACAGTAGTAAAATTTATAAAGTAGAATTATTGTGGTAGTGGTATTTTGGTTGAATATTTTTCATGCAAATTAATTCTGAATGTTTATAAATATAGCATCTATTAATTAAAAACATTAGAACTAGATTAATGACGTAACGTTAATTATGAATTTTAGAAGTATATAATTAAGTAACGCGTGGCGTGACGTCATTCAATTAATTGATCCACTCTCGATTGCAGCATCACAGTTAAAACCATGTTCGAGAAACTTGTCGCAGCCCAAATTGGAGGCATGCATTTTGGAGAATGGGAAAGCCGCGATTCCTCATCTTGCTAAAGGTAATAAAATTTATTTAAAAAAAAAATATGCCAATCATGGTCGGCTTTAGAATTTATGCAACTTCAATTCAATTTATCCAAAATAACCCAGATTTCGAAATAAAATATTAGCTTCGGCGGTTTGCTTGGCAATTTTTATTTTAATTTTGTTAACGTACATGTTAGCAAAAAATTAAAGTATTATTTCTCCAAAGGTATTCCAAGTTACAATCTCCTCCCATTGGAACCACTCCATATTCCCGAATTGCGGATTGATGACGCTGGCACCACTAGTTCTATTAATTTAAATCTAGTCATGAGCAGCGTTGACATCACCGGTCTCAAAAACACACACTTCATCAGCGTTAAGTAAGTAAATACCTTATGTAGTTTAAATATCAAAAATGAATTCTATAAAAATGTCATTTGTCATTTACCTTCTCAATATACATACCGGTAAAAATTTAAGTGTATGGCATTAAAAAATCATTACTTTTTATTAAAAGTTTTCTTTTTTACAAATTAATACATTTGACAAGTTCAAAAATTTAATTTTACTTGGAACTTCATCCTTTATGAAATTTGTAAATATTTCAGGAATGATTTGAAGAGTGGCGACGTCGAGTGGAAGTTTTACATGCCGCAGATTTCACTGCTGGGCCAATACAACGTGACGGGTCGCGTGCTGCTGCTGCCGTTGCGAGGCCACGGCGATATGAATATCACGCTCGGTGAGAAATTTTGGTTTTAATTATTATGTGCGAAGAGCGAGTTCTGGAGCGAGGTCTGCATTTTACTGTTCTCACACTGTCTTTGCAACGAAAAAGCTTTTTTCAGTTCAAAAAATGAATTACAATAGTTTTCGCAACGAGAAATAATGCAAAACAGTCCTCGTTTCTCCGCACAGTTGAACAGGTTGAAATTCACCGTGCTAATTATGCTCCGTAATCTTGCCAGACGATCTGGAAGTCAACTACTCGTTCAGGCTCAAGCTATTGCCACCCAATAAAGAGAACGTGGTTTACCTCAAGCCTGAGGGCAATAGACTTTCTTTCAAAACGTCCAAGACTCACATCAACCTGGAGAACCTTTTTGAAGGGCAGAAGGCTTTAAGTATGTACAACTGTTAATTTTTATTAACTTCACTTATTTCTAAAAATAAAAAATCAAATCTTACATAGTTATGTAGGAAAATAAATTTTTTTTATATAAAAATTTATTAGCATAATATGCTAAATTTACTTCATTCAATTTAATCTGAAGCATTTGAATAATTCTTTATACGATTTATCCCTGACCAATTTTTACCATAAATGTATCCCTAGGCGACCAAATGAACATTTTCCTGAACGAGAACTGGCGCGACCTGGTGACAGACCTTGGCCCGCCCATAGCAGAGGCGCTCAGCACCGCCACCAACCAACTCATGCTCACGCTTACAAAGCAGGTGCCTTACGACGAAATATTCCCCGACACGCCAGTGTGAGATCCAAACAAATCTGCTTAAAATCTCATGAGTCTAGTTAGTTTCTAATTTAATATTTAACATTAATCATTTTTAAAGTCGTACATCTTGAAAGCATTTAACTAGGTTGTAAAACTCTTATTAATTTAAAATAAATTTAATCCTCTTATTTTAAAGGAAATATTATTTACATTTTTACAGTTCTGTATACAAATACAAGTTATTTACAAGAACCAAAGTAGAAAAAGTGAACATGAAGTGGCTTTTTTTGTTGTAGACTTAAGTATTTTGTGATGAAATTGTGTGTGCAAATTTCGATGAATTCTGTGAACCGCTTAACTCTCATGCACAGCCGGTTGCATACCTTTGTGCAACTGCGCAACTGGGTTTTGCGAATTGTATGATTGTAATAAGATTTATTTTAAGTAATCATCAAATTTCAAAGAAATAAAATCACATATCCTTGTGTAAAAAATCTAAATTTATATCTTATTTCCTTAATAAGTCTTAGTTGTCTCACAGAAGATATATTACAAATGATTGAAACCATATTAGTTTTTTTTTTTAAACTCGCCATCTCGATCACTGCCTACCGGACTTGAGATAAGATTTAGAATTGGCATTGGTAAAGAAGTACGGCGCCCTCTCCGAAGGGCACGTCATTCTCTGCATTGGCATCATAAAATCCATTGTTTTGTTGCCCTCCGGCTGCAGCAAATTGTTCCATTGCATCGTAGCGACTGCAATTCAGCAATGATTTGCAGAATTATTGAAAAAAAGTATAAAGTACTCACAAGCAGCGTGACCTTTTTGACTCAGATGAAAGCAGTCGACAGAGAAAAGGGAGAGATCGGCCAGGTTGAAACCCAGGAAATTCCGTGACTTCGGTGGCTCTAATTTTGAAGTAAACGGTTGAAGGACTACCACGAAGTCTTCTTTAGTGTCATAACGACCACTTGAGATCTGAGAAAATATGGCAGAGATCAATTTTGCTCCATTTTGTAATCTCTTAACTGATTTAACACAATTAAAGTGGTTAAAGTGTGGTTAAAGTGTTAATTTTTTGCTTTCAAATTTTCCGTTAATTCAGCTAATTTTTTTTTCTTACGATCCTTTAAAATTTTCAAAATAAGAAATGAAATTAAGGGAAATGATCCTAAATTAAAGGTTTTAGCAGATTTAATCATTGATATTATTCGTTTTTTTTTTTAAATAATTTGATGAAATATTATTTAAAATTTGCATGTTAATTATACTTCTCAGAAGGTAAGGCAACCAAGTTTTCAATTGACCAGTAGGAAAAGTAAAATACTCATTGTCAGAAGCTAATTTTTCACTCACCAATTGCCTTTCAGCAAAGTGGTACGCATCTACGATTTCCTTCAGCTTTTTCACATTTTGCGCTCCCCCAGGGCCGTACAAGCACCTGCACTCAATGACGCTCATTACGCCACACAATATCGACTTTTCAATCTTCCATCCGGCAGTCACGTCTAGCAAGAAAATTTATCAAATTACAACGTCTCCAAGTAATGTTTCTTTTCCGCCAAATTTACCTATGACTGGAAGCAAATTGACAAAGGTTCTGGGCGAGTTAATCTGCAAATAGTCGAGGGCCTTGCGCAGGTTCTCCTTGTGCTCCAAAGCGGCCGCCTTTGGAGAGGGAAAACACGGGTCGCCGCTACAAATGTCATTTTGGCCGGACAAAATCGTCACCATCTGTATATTTCAGGAAAAATTTCTGTTAAATTTAAAAATGATGACATATGTTTTGAGCCAACGACCTTCCAATGCCGTTTGAAATCCACTCGAGGGTCACTCTTCAATTTGGCCACGAGTCTCTTCGCCTGTCCCAGCAGGTGCTCGTCGTGCGACTGCGCTTCACCCATGCCAAAGTGATTATTTGACCCCTCGACTGCGTACCCGATCAAATTGGGGTTGAACATACGAAGCAAATTGGGGATCGTCGTCACAGACCGCCAGTCTTGGTCACCACCTTATAAAAAAAAATAATAATAAGGTGATAAAAGTTCTAAATAGTCATGATTAAATGTTAGTTTTGAAAATAAATGCATTTCTTGTACCAAAAATCTCTAATTTTATATTATATATAATAATTAAATTACCATTACACATGTTCAGAAATCTGTTTAAGCCTGTATGTCAAAAATAAAAAATAAATGAAGATAAAATAGTGTAACACAAGATAAAATAATGAATAAATAAGTTTATAAAATTTTGTATCGCCTTAATTGTTTTCCTTTTGTCACTATAATTATTGTTCCTGCTTCGGGAGGGACGAGTCTTGTGTCGTTGCCTGCTATTGAGTTTTCTGGGCGGACACCTGCGCTGCATTGTGATTTGCAAAGCTTTACATGCAAGGTCACACTGTCACTCTAATTCATTCATGGCAAATCAAAATTATTAGCACGGTGTCGCGAAATTCCCAGCCAAAACTTCCTGTTCTCTCAAGCAAGCTCTATCTTACTTGTAATGGTTCGTTTTTTTTTTACATTTTTTAATTCAAATAACTCTTAAACACAAAAGGTGTAGCAATTGCGAATTTTACGAGCAGTTGAGCACGAAATCGAGTAGAAGGGTATTATTATTGAGTCCGTGTGTTAGTGAAGGTCAATTCGTTTCACTACTTGTTTATAAATACATTGTGTTTCTTTGACTGGAGAGCCGTAAAAGAAAATTGCAGTAAAACACCATTATAAGATTTTTGGAAGAACAATTGAAAAAATTTAATTTGGAAGTATAAAGAAAATTTAAATTTTTTGGCACGCTAAATATTTTTACTTTCCCCACTGATCTTACTAGTTTTAATAATGCTTTTAAATTTTTAATTCCTACAACAAAGTCTAAAATTTGATTAGGTTTACACTTTTTATTTAAAGACGTGAGGGTGTTCAATTATTTATTTTTTCCTACCTATACTCCAGGACACTTTTTGGTCCATGAAGAAGAGGCCGACAACTGTTTCAGCAAGTGCTCCAAATCCGGTGACCAAACTGTCTCCCATCGTGGCCACCACACTTATGTCCTGCGGACGCAATCGGTGCACTGACTTTGGCGTGGCGCTAATCGCGTTACTACGGGGAAATTTGCACGGAAATGGGCGATCTATGGGCACAGTATTCTGCAGCCGGGAACCACCATCAACACCAAGTTCAGTAAGCAAACGTTCCGACTAAAAAATGTAAAATCTTTTTCAGGGCTTCAAACAGGAAGGTACATTTTTAATGTATTTCAATCAGATTTACCTTGTGTTAAATTAAAATTATAGAATAATGAGAAAAAACTTCACAGTTTAAAGTTTTTATTATTATATCAGCGTGATTTAATGATCATTAACGAATAACTAATGATAAGATTGATGGATGATAACCAATTTTATAATTTTTTTAATTTACAAGAAATTATTAACCGAAAAAAAATATATCTGTCAAAAATTGAATTGCTGAAAGAGAGAGAAAAGCAGATATCCTGTAGATATCTCTATTTATTTACAGTATTTGAATTTAAAAATTAATTTAATTCTTTAAATTCTTGAAGAGACAACAAAATTTTTAATATAACTGCTACTTTGAAACATAAAAATCAAATTTTTTTCACCTAATGTTGCTCAATAAAAAAATAATCCTCCCCGTCATCATTATTACTTTTATTAAATTCCAGAGTAAAAGTGAGTCTCCAAATTTAATAAAAGAACTTTGAATTTACTAAAGTCACTGTAATATATAAAAAAGGCATTATTTTCTCAACTTACTGCTCGCTCAGCGGCGATGTCCGCGAAGATTTCAACAGCCTCCTCCCTGCTGGGCAGAAGTGCGGCTTCAGCGAAAGCACGTTGGACGACGAGCAGCAGGGTGACAGACAAAGTGGATCTCACGCGAGTCATTGTTCGGCGCTGCTAATTAACTAATTAAAAGTTCACCGCCGGAGACAATTAACACGGCGGCCGATCGGGGGCACGTGCTCGTTTAGCGGTGCTGCTGTGGCACCTGCGAGGCGCGCGGACCTGAAACAAATAAAGGTGCTCTCAACGCCTGACTGGCACCACTCACGTTGCCTCACCAACAACTCACCCATACTACTCTCCAAAATGACAAGCAGCATCGCCAGCCCTTCATTCGGCATTGGCTAATTATTTTACGAGTGCAATGCAGGATGAAGGCGGACTTTTCGGGCTCAATTAGCTTTTCTTATATGACCTGTCGAACTGCTATAATCTAGGTTAATTGCTGCGATTGGCATGAAAACGCTCGTGACCTTTGAAATTAGGTGACAAATCTGATTCAGCCAAAACAACATTTATGAACAACATTTTTTTATAATTAAATTAATATCACTTCAATTGATTTTTATGAGCGTTTCCGAGTGAATTTGAAGGGCGATTGGACGATTTTGGACTAGACAGAACCTGTGTATGATTTTTATGCATGTTTGAGAGGGTGCCAAGGGGTGTCCACACACAAATTTTCAGACCTCTAAAAAGGGGCGTTACCCAAAATTTCGGGACTTGAAAAATGGGCAAAAATTATTTTGGATTTGCTATAACTTTGGAACGGATAAAGTTATATTGACGTTCTCAACTGTTCCTGACGTAACTTTTTACGCTGAACAACTTTGCTGTTGACATCAAAGTTGTATTGTTAAGGGAAATGTCACTTTCAGGTGACCTCTGACCAAAATGTCAAATTTTGACAGGGAACGCCCCCTTCGATTTTTTTCCAGGTATAGGAAAAAATGTAGCCCATGAAATTTTACATCACATATGTCAAAATTAGAACAAGGTTATTTTTTGTTTTCGAGTAATTAATCGTTGAATAAGAAAAAACGCGTCCGAAGAGGGTCGAAAATTTAGAGGTAAATTAAAGAATTAACAAAAACGTAACTAAATCAAGTCAGCAATGTTCCATTGTATCATAAATATTCAAGTTAGGCAAAAGCAACATACACGACACGATTTTTTACAGTTTCCTTCGATTTTTGAAATAACCTCAAAATTTTCGACCCTCCTCGGACGCGTTTTTTCTTATTCAACGATTAATTACTCGAAAACAAAAAATAACCTTGTTCTAATTTTGACATATGTGATGTAAAATTTCATGGGCTACATTTTTTCCTATACCTGGAAAAAAATCGAAGGGGGCGTTCCCTGTCAAAATTTGACATTTTGGTCAGAGGTCACCTGAAAGTGACATTTTCCTTAACAATACAACTTTGGTGTCAACAGCAAAGTTGATCAGCGTAAAAAGTTACGTCAGGAACAGTTGAGAACGTCAATATAACTTTATCCGTTCAAAAGTTATAGCAAATCCAAAATAATTTTTGCCCATTTTTCAAGTCCCGAAATTTTGGGTAACGCCCCTTTTTAGAGGTCTGAAAATTTGTGTGTGGACACCCCTGGGCACCCTCTCAAACATGTATAAAAATCATACACAGGTTCTGCCTAGTCCAAAATCGTCCAATCGCCCTTCAAATTCACTCGGAAACGCTCTTATTAATATTGTTTTAGTTATTTTTGTTTACTATGAAATTGAAGGAAATTTAATTGAAAAAAAAAATTAGTTGTTAGGAGTGAAATTTTGAAGTGTGGGACAAAAAGGTACCTGACTAAAGTATTTTGCTAATATTCTCCGTGATAAAGAAAGATAAAGAGAAGAGATGCACCAAAAACTAGTCTCGGTTGACTTTACTGTTTTAAAAATTATAATGAGAAATTTTAGCTCTTTTAAAATCTCTCATGGGGAAACAAAAAAAAATTATGCTTTCTTACTTCAGATTTTTTAAATTTTATGTATGCAGAGATGCAACTCTAGTAGGTTATCAGTGAGCGACATTGTTAACTAATCATATAATTTCAAAGTTTTTGTTTTATATAACTTTGCTTGTCACTGTCACAACCAGAAGTTTAATGCTTTCGTATTCGTGAGGTGCAAGGTCGGTGTGCTTGTCTCGTTGTGTTGTGTGTATGAGGCGGAAACGCAGCCGAGAACATTTACGTGGACCGCGCTGATTAAAAATTCAACGCGGATAGCAGCGCGAACACACCAAAATTATAATCCGCATCCACCAACACCAAAGTAGCGCCGTTTTGCATTTTTATACTTGACGTCACCGCCTTCTTAGGCTGCAGAGCCACACGCGCGGCTATTGTGTTTTAAACCAGGATAAAAATTAATTATTCTAGCTGTTTCAGGCAAACAAGGAGAAGCATAATTGCATATTTATTAGTATTATTATAAATGTATGTGTGAGTGGAGTGCATTATTAAATGTGTTTCCCGAGTTAGCAAATTAAATTGATTTTGTTGACATTGTTGCAGAAGATTAATTAATTTATTGATTGCCTTTGTAAAGAACAATAATGAAAGTCAAAGTTTTGACCCCCATTTATTCAATTAAAAATATTGGTGCTCCCATATTGATTGCTTATATAAATGAAGTTCTATAAAACTTTTCTAGAAAAAAATAGGCACAAACAAGTTTGCTTCGGGGATGACTGACTTTGTAAATTATCAATGGAAAAATTGAGTTTTCCGTCAGTATTGCAGCTGTCATGGAAAAGTGCGGAGCAAAACTTTTTCAGCTCGCCATTTTACTTGGCGTGCACGTCCCTACTTCATATCAAAGGGGCAAAAGATTATTGTACCTCATTTATAGTTTTGCATTTCTTTGCTTTCTTGGCTTCATTGGATGTGTACAGTTAAGCGGGATTATTTATTTTTTCGTTCGAGGCAATTCGGAATTGTTCGTAGAGAAAAATTTAACCACTTTGTGCATTCCGTTCCTTCTTCAAACCTGCGCCTTGTTATTTTTGACTGCCTGTTTTTTGTGGACAGTGTTTCGTACTGATGAGTACGCCAATATTATGAACTCACTGCAAAGTGTGGCATCGACGATTAATTTTCAAGAAGTCTTTCAAAAGGCCGATAAGGAATTGCATTATATAATCACAAAAATTCTTCTCATCAGCGCCCCAACTTGGATAATTCTTCTTTTTGAAGGTTCCAATCTGAACATTTTCGGGGTTTTAATTTGTATGCAATGCATGTGCCTTTTATTCTTGGGGACTATTTTTCGTCTGAAATTTGTACTTGTCTTTTTGGTCATTCAATTATTATCAGCCAAACTCAACTTAATCATCGAAGTATTTTTATTCATTAATAAAATAATGCACTAATTTAAAAATATTTTTTTGCAGAAGAAAATACGTTTAAGCATAAAGATTCAAAGAAGTGTCTACGGAATTCTTTGCAACCTCACAAAAAGAGCGATGCGCGTATTTCGGCCCATCATATATATTCACCTGCATTTGGAGTTTGTTTTCATGCTATTTAGTACCTACTCTGCTGCTGTTGCTCTCTTAAATGTGGAAGAAATTTACAGAGAAAAAAGATTAATATACTTTATTAGCTTGTTCTTTGAAGTACTTTCAAGTCTCACTAATTTATATTACTTGCTCCTAGTCACAGACAAAACTCTGAATGAGGTATGCATGCAAATCATGGAATAAAGAATAAACTAAAAATTTTTTACAATTCACTTTTCATTCCAGATAACCAACGGTACGATTTTAAGCATGACTAGAATTGAAACCGGCGCTATTTTGTGTTTACGCAAAGATAGAGAAGAAGTGATTTGCATATTATATTGTTACTAAATTAGGAGCATAAAAATACGAATGGTTTCAGCTAAAATTATTTGAAATGCAAGTGCGCCATTGTGGAATAAAAGATTTTTCTCTGTACGGACTACTAGTTCTGAATAGATCGTTCCTAACGTCTGTAAGTTATGCATAGCTTATTTGGTTTAATTAACAATGCTCGTTTTTTCAGGTACTCGCAAGTGTCACAGCGTTTGCAACAATTTTGATGCAATTCCACATGCTGGCAAAAACAACTGTATTAAAAAATATTGATAAACTCTTTTTTTGAAGTGAAATAAATTTAATGAATTAATCTAACAGAAAAATTATTATTATTTTTCCTGCTAAGCAACGTTCATTATCACAATTTAATAATTTATAATTTAAGCCATCAATGTAGCCCATCTGATGAATATTTTTAAGACTTTTTATATGAATCTCTGAATTGAAAAAAAACCACTAAAAACTACTGAGGTTAGAGAGTTAAAGCTCATTAAACGTTGCAAATATTCAAGGGCAATGGGCTATGCAATTTTTTTTTTCAAAAGTGCTACACGAGAGCAAAAATTTTATAGTTAATAAAATAATATTTTGATTAAAAAAAAGACTAAAAGGTTAGGATAATGCTTGCTTGACTATTATGTGAAAATATGCATAAACACACATTTGTACTTTTTAAATAAATATATAAATTCATTTTATTAAAATGTGAGTACATCAGACTTCCCCTTGATTGTTCAATTTTCATGTATTGATCACACCCAAAATTTTGCATGTATTATATTAAATATTGATTACTATTGGCGGTCAATATCTAACCTTAAGAAACTGCGTTATCAAAAACTTTTTACTTTAGCAGAATAATGTGCATATAAAAACTTTGTGGCTGTTTTGCGGTAGAGCCTTTTACCAAAAATTATTTGGTCCTCTTTTAACAAACTTTGAAGGTTAGTCTGGAAATATTCTGCACCGCATTTACGTCCCTCTGTGCGCCGCCGTCCGCCAGCTCTTTAAGCAGAGCATCCATGGATCGCTTTATGAATTGTGCATATTTTACACTGGCGTCTTTCTTCGGAGTTCACCGTCATTGGCAAAACACTAGTGGAAAATTAATCCAACACACTTACAGTTTTCTATTGATTGGAACTTTTATTTTCTTTGGATTGCTTGATGTCCTAGACATGGCTAAGATTTTCCTCCGAGATTTTTCAGAAGTGGAGGTCCTTGATAAAAATGTTATGGCACTTTTGATGAATGTCATCACCATCTTAGTATCCACTTTATTTTTATTCTTCTGTCTGATTTGGAAAATTTTAGTGGGTGATAAGAAATATTTTATTTTAATCAAAGCATTATGGGACGTTGCCGCGCTTCTGGGAAATCCACTTGTGTTTGAGCGAGTGCGCAAAAAAATTAACTTTCTAATGTTTATAACATTTTGTCTGTATGTCCCCTCGATAACTTGTGATATCATTTTGTATGCTATAAGTATCAACTTGCTGCTTTCATTGTTGCATTACTCCTTTATTTTACTTCATGGCATTCTGTCACGCATCGGATTTATTATATTGCTGCTGTTGATAAAAGAACTTGTCAAAGAAGTAAACAGGAGTCTTGAGGTAGGTGGAAAAAAATATTTAAAATATCTTAAGAAAAGAGTTATGTGAGATTAAAAAAATCGCAATTATTCAAATTTCTCTCAGATAATCTTTGAAGAAAATTCATCCCTGCATGAAGTCATGCAAAGGATTAAGCTTTTGAAGAAAACGCACCATTTGCTAATGAATCTATGCCAAGAAACTTTTCAACATTTCCAGCCGCTTCTTCTCTTTTACTTGCATGTGGAATTTTTGCACGTTATCTTTTCTGCATACTATGGTTGCATCGGCTTAGCAAATTTAGAGGAACGCTATTCCGAATCAAGGTTCCAACTTATTATTGGATCAAGTACGTGGGTATTGCTATCGATTTTCAACCTCCACTTCTTTTTATCCACATGTGAAACAACAATACAAGAGGTAAATAATGATTTTTGTAAATCCATCGTATTTCAATAATTTAATTTTTAGATCAAATCTACAAAAATTTGGACACTGAAAATCAAAGGTGTTGAGTCAGCTGATCATTGTATAAAAGAAGAGGTTAATTTCTATTTACTTATTTATAAAATTGTATATAACCTATTATTAATTTAATTTTAGATTGCCATTTTTAGAAGTGAAATTACCCACTTTTTAAACAAGGATTTTGAACTCTTTGGGCTTTTGAAATTAAACAGAAAACTTACTCTCTCGGTAATTAACAAAATTACTATATACTGTTAGTTTTAAGCAATTTATTCTAAAATAAATCTAGAAAGTCTAGGTGTCAATTTTATCGAATTAGAAAATTAAAAACCAATTGTTAATTTATCTCAAATTTCAGTTCTTCAGTACAATAGCAACATACACAACTCTAGTGGTCCAGTTTCACTTGTTTAAGAGAGAAATTACAATGACCTAAAATTAAATAAATGTTTTTAATTGCAAAACTATGATAAAAAGGAAATTAATGAAAATAACTATGCATAACGATTAACGATTACAGCGTTCATAGTTGAATGATAATTTTCTTCCAACCATCTGTAACAAAAAAAAATTGATTCGCTTTTTTAATAAAATTATTACTTCTGCCTCTAATTTCAATCGCCGTCAAATTACACTAATAATTTCCTACAAGAACGTGCCTTTCCCGCCGTTATGTGGCAAATTCGAAGGGGCGGTCAACCGGCCATGAAATGAAACAAGTGAAAAGCGAAAAGCGATACCATCGTGACGGTTCAAAAACACCAGAGAGCTTATTTACGTTTTCGTTGATGTAAGTTTTTGATTATTCCCAATTATTATGTAGTATTTAGAAAGGTATTCGTTTAAATTCTGAGAAATGAAGCGGTTTTGAAAATTCCTCGTTAATTTTCAGTTGTAAAATTTAAGTTTCTTTTTCAGAGCCAGTCCAAACCAAGCGCATCAAGATGCCGATGGAGAACATGGAAGAGCAGGGTTTGGAGAAAAACCCGAATTTGGAGTTGGCCCGCATCAAATTCCTGCTTTCCATGAAGGAACATCAAAACGACAAGGAACTGGCGGCCAAACTGCTGGACGCCATCGAAGCCGATAGTGAGTTGAAATGCAAAATTTCAATTCCTGTGACTTTTCAATTTTTCAGACATGGCCCAATTCTATGAGCTGGTCTGCAAGGATCTTGGCTGGGGTCTTGATCAGAGTCTCCTGCAGAAAATGAAGGACAATAACGCTGAAAAATTGACCCAGTTGGATGCGGCCATTGAAGATGCAGAGCAGAATTTGGGCGAGATGGAAGTTAGAGAGTCCAACCTGAGGAAGGCAGAGTACCTCTGCAAAATTGGCGATAAGGTAAATTTGAACACGGAAAATTCAAAGATTTCCAAATTTATATTTAAATCTGGCGAGCAGGAAGCATCTTTGACGGCATTTAGGAAGACGTACGATAAGACTGTGTCATTGGGACATCGATTGGACATTGTGTTCCACAACATCAGAATTGGTCTCTTTTATGTGGACCACGATCTGATCACAAGAAACATAGAAAAGGCAAAGAGGTAGATATTTAAATTATATGTTTATTTGTTCGTGAAGGAGTAAAAGTTTTCTCCGTCAAAGAGATAGAAATCATGGTATTCTAATTTATTAAATTGATGATGAGGTGACTTTGTGTTTCGGAGTTTTTGTTTTAATAGACTTTGATTTCGCAAGTAATAGTTCTCTAAAAAAATTTACATGCTTATTTAAATTAAAACTAAAAATATTTCCAATTGAGCTGTTTGAAACCACACAGAGTCGCTTTACAACTCAATTTTCACGAGTTAGATCATTTTAACTATGATTAGGAGTGACCTCTGCTTTACCCCTTTTTAATTTTTTAAGCCTTATTGAGGAGGGTGGTGACTGGGACCGTCGCAACCGGCTCAAGGTCTATCAAGGCTTGTACAGCATCGCCATCCGAGACTTCAAATCGGCCGCCACTTATTTCCTAGACACCGTCTCGACCTTCACTTCTTATGAGCTCATGGACTACACCACCTTTGTCAGATACACAGTTTACATTGCGATGATCGCTCTTCCTAGGAACGAGCTCCGCGATAAGGTGATTGTTATTTCTCAATACTTTATCCTCTGTATTAAAACTGCAAATTATTTTTAAAGATAATCAAGGGCTCCGAGATTCTGGAAGTTTTGCACTCCCTGCCAGATGTGAAGGACTATCTGTTCTCCCTGTACAACTGCCACTACGCTGATTTCTTCAAAAATCTAGGTATGATGAAGAATTGTAAACAAAAAATAGCATAGAACGCTATAAAATTTTGCTTTTTTATTTTCATCTCAAGAAAAAAATTATAAATTGATTAAAAAAAACCCAAGTTTTATGGTGGTGAAAAAAGAAAATCTAACGAAAACAGTTTGAAATCCGTATTAATCAGTTCAAGCCCTATTCTTAAGTTGTTTGAGATTCATTCTTTACTGATAGGAAAACTCAAGTTCAGTAGAGCGTATTAAATAAGGGAAAAACAATCAAATTTTCACATTCTTATGCCTTTCTAACCATACAATGCAATTTAATTTCAGCCATTGTGGAAGGCAACCTGAGAGAAGACTACTTGATCAACCCCCATTACAGCTACTACACTCGTGAAATGCGCCTCCTCGCCTACAAACAGCTGCTCCAGTCCTACAGAAGTCTCACCCTCCAATACATGGCTGACTCATTCGGGGTCACCGTGGATTACATTGACAAGTAAAACTATGATGAGATCATGACAAGCATCATTTTAACGCAATTTTATTTCAGAGAACTCTCTCGATTCATCGTAGCCGGCCATCTGCACTGCAAGGTTGACAAGGTTGGCGGCATTGTCGAGACAAACAGGCCGGACAACAAGAACTGGCAGTACCAGGGCACCATCAAGCAGGGAGATATTCTGCTCAACCGCGTGCAAAAATTGTCCAGAGTCATTAATATCTAAAAAGAATAAGAATAACTGCTCCGCTTCCGTTTGAATTTCTTTGTATTTAAGTTAAATGGTATATGATGAAAATAATGAGTACTTTTGTCAATTAACAAAACAAACCCTCGAATGTTTCAATAGTGTAAGAAGTTAGGTTTTTTTAAATGTTGAAAAATTGAGATTTAAAGAAAAGTTATTAGCGTAATAATTTCATTTGCCTCATTTTAATGGCAAACTTTAAAACATTTTAAAGAACTGTGAAAAGTTGGTCGCAATTAGAAAAGTTTCTGTAAATTTTTGTTATGCTCTGATTCGATTTCAAAGACCCAAAGATAATTATCAGGAAGTTGTCATTTTCCTGTGCATCAGCCCAGAAAAAATATTCGGGACATCCATTGGGGTCACGTTGCGAATTTAAAGTATCATAGAAATTCCCGGAAAGGCTGTTGCAGTCACGAGGAAAGGAAAATGCAAAAATTTTGAGTCAGCGGGAGTCGAGCATTGTGAAAATCGCTTAGTAATATTTAAAGGGCAGGCAGCGAGAGCGGAGGGGCGGGTGGAGGCGGCGACGGGCCAATCAGCGCTCGCGCTACCAGTCATGGGGCTGTCAGTGTCGAGCAGTCTTTGCAGCAAAACGCGTCAGCTGGCGTGAGTCGATCCAGTGAAAGTCGCATTTTCGTCCGATCCCGTCGTCCGCCGTGTCCAGCCGCGTCCGACTGCGCGCCCAGTGCCTTGTCTGAGCCATCGGTCGTCGCCAACCACCGTCCTCGGCCCCGATCCGCCGACGGAGAGCGCCCAATTTCGACCACAAGAGTGACGTCATTTTGAAAAACAGCACATTGCTCTGCGCTCTCTCGTGTGTGAGTGACTTTTGTGAATTTACTTGGTTGTGAAGAAAGAGAGGAAGAAAGTGTCCGATTCGGGACAATGGCCGCGCCGTCGAGCAGTGCCCTCAGGACCCTGGCCCTTGAGTACAAGAGTCTGCAGGAGGAGCCCGTGGAGGGCTTCAGGGTCAAGCTGGTCAATGACGACCTGTGCACCTGGGAGGTTGCCATCTTCGGACCACCCGAGACCCTCTACCAGGGTGGATATTTTAAGGTAAGTTTTTTTCCCAGCCTCTTCGTAATTTGTAGTAAAATTATTATAATTAAACATGTTCTGTAAAGTTCTGTAACTGAAAAAAAATTCGATTCAAAAAATTCTTGCTGCAAAAAAAAATTTATTTTTGGTTGGTACGTTCATTTTTATTTTTATTCTATCACAAACAATGAAACAATTAGCGACGTTGACAATTTATTTATTTATTTTAAACAAAAAATAAAAATAAAGATTTTTTTCAATCTTTGTTTTTAAAAAAAGAATCTGTTAAATTTCAAAATTTTGGTATTTTCAAATATTTCTCATTCCGATCGGGTTTGGCTCGGAAACGGCACTCGGTATGTAAGCAACCTTCGCAAGTCGGTTCTTTTTTGTGGCAGAGGCACAAACATAATGCAACATCAGCCGCATTTGCAATATTTTCGCCTTGAATCAGATTCTGCTTGTAAGTGGTTGAAATTGCGAAAGACGAGCAGGAAATTGAATTCGTACGTCTGCCTCAAATATCCGAGTGATTGAAATTTCACATTTTCCCATGTACGTCATTACCCGTATCAAAGTGAGATTTAATAAACAATTAAGATTGATGAAAATACGTAGACAAGGAAAATAATAACAAGGAATTTGACATAATTTACGTCACAGTGACGAGGTTTGATAATAAAAGAGTTTCTCTTTAAATCTTATCAATGAAAAATCCATCATCTATAAGAACAGTAGTTACAATTTTAAATTTTATCTGCGATTTGAATTTGTGGAACAATTTAAATTTTATCTTTAGAAAAAATCGAAATAATTATATAACCTTCAACAGAATGAAGTGTAAGAAGTTTTTAATTCTATCAGTAACATTTTACTTGTCAAAAAATGCTTTACAAATCTTGACGTTATTTGAATTGAATTGTTTTAAATGATTCTTATAGAAAACCGTAGTTTATTTTTTGTTTGCTTACCTTACAACCTTTTATTTTTGAAAAGTTGATATTTAGTAAATTTGTTATAAATTGTTTTTCTCTTGTCAATTTTATAATAATTTAGAAAAAAATCTTTGCAAATTATTATTAAATCGAAAAATTTGCCTGAAAGCTGAGGTTTCTGCTGAAAATCAATACATCCGACTTTCAGCATCCTTTGGATTCCGTGGCCGTTTGATCTTATTGTGCTTTCTTTCTTTCTTTATTCTTTGGTGTTTTTTTTTGTTCTCGAACACTTTATAGGGAAAGAGTGTGATATGGGGTGGAATTCAGAGAAAGATGTAAAATCTTGTCACATGCATGCATCTGGTCTCATCGAGTTGACTTCTCAAACCTTGGCCTCGTTTCAGCAGCTCTGCATGGGCCGCTCGCTTGGGGTGTCAAACCCACAACTCGATGCTGCTGCTGCACTCGTGAACGCATTAAATCTTTTCGAAATCGCTTTCTTCAGAGCAACCCTCTGAGCTATTTTTGATATTATATTGAGGAAACGAGATGTATTCAAAAGTGGGTCAAGAAGCATTATCAATATTACGTGGAAAAAATTTTTAAATTTTATTCCACATTTTCATGGTAATTCTCGATGGTTACATAATATTTGAAAATGCTTTGAAAAATTTATATGGGATTGGGATAGGTAGAACTAATTGTAAACCTATCCGGATTCAACCAGCCAAAATTCAGCCCTTTGTTACAATATTTTGTTAAAATTTGCATCAAAACATAGTTCCGATGCATCATCAGCTACAAATTAGCCGAAGTGATTTTGATGAATATTTTTTTGTTTTAAATTAAAAATTTTTGAGGTCAATTCCATGGAGACATCGTTGGACAGTTTTTTATCGATCGAATTAAAATAATTTTTGGAATGTATGTATGGTTGGTTTTTAAAAATCTTTACCTGATAAAAATGGGCTTAACTGCATCAAATCAACTTAATTTCACAGCTTGACCTCTAATTTGACATTGAACTTATCAAAAAATGTATTGGTAACAATTTTTTTCAATCAAAAACCTCGTTTTTGTGATAAAACAAAAGGATTTCCACAAACTGTTTGGATAATTTAAAATATAATTAATTTTTTAACGCAACCAAAGAAAAATTCCCCGGACCACAAGGTCTCGCATCTGTCTCGTGCGTCACTCTCAACCCTATCGATCATGTGTGTACAATCTGCGTAGTAATTATTTTACCAAACCATTTTCCTCCGTCGGAAATTGTGCTGTTAATTAATGATTTAAGACCTCCGTTGTGGCATCAAGGATAATAGGGAATCGAAACGGCACAGCCGCGTTCATTACGATTACTATTTCATTTGGTTTGCAAACAGCAGAGACGGACCTTGGCACATTTCGCCGAGGCACCTTCTTAATAATTGTGTGAAATGAACGTGCACAACGGCGCTTGCTATTTCCTCGTACACACATTGGTATGTACTTTTCTCTACTCGGCAGAAGCAAAGAGCGTCTTTAGTAATTGATTTATTAAAAGCAACACACAATTTTCTGCAAAATTAAATAATTGTGTCTAGCTTTGATAAATTATTTCACAATGTTGAAAGGCCGATAAAAGTAAAAATTCGATCAGTTATGCAATCCACTCGTTCATTATTGTAAGCTTCTTATATTTTTATATTGTTTTTGACGCACTCTCGAAGGTGAAATCAGGAAGAATGATCTTTTGGTAAACATAAACTGCGCGCTCTCTTTCATTCGGCGCTCTAGTTTTCATTTCTAAAGCGTTTCATTTTCAACGCCGGCTTCACAATTGGATGCGTCATGACGAGATTAAGCGCGATTAAACAAGCTGCTTTTAGTTTCAAACGCAAATTATTGACCTTAAATTAACTGGCATGAAGGATCAAATAATGCGGCGTAGCAAAAGTTTTGAAACCGATTTAAAATTGAATAATTGAACGCAAAACGGAAATATTTGGTTATGAAATGTTATTTCCTGTAAATTGCAAATGTAGCTCATAATTACAATAAATAATTTCATTTTATGACAACAAGTGATTATTTTGGCCTGGAAACGAATTTATAAAAATGAACATACATAGTCTGATTGTGATGTCCACTTGAACCTAGTTAAGCGATCTAGTGGATAATTTTAATAAGTTGAGTAATTTAAAATATTATCAGTAAATTTTGATTTTGTTTTAAAGTTTTGTATCCTCTCTGAAAGTGTCAATAATTTTAGTGGCTGGCAAATTTCTATTTGAGCTTTTGTTTAAATTTCCCTCAATAGATTTAAGATTTAATTGGACTCGCTAATAAATTGGTTGAAACGTTGCAAGTAAAAGTTGTTTTTGGAAAACAGGCCACCATCAAAACAGCTGAAACTCGCTTCCTTTTTTCGAGCCAGCGACCGCGGCGGCTTCCGCGAGTGCATCGGCGTGGTGCGTTAACAGCAGCTGGAGCCGCTGCCGATCAGCTGCTTCTCTCCAAGATTGAGCAAAACCCACTTACGGCCACTTGATATGCATTACATCCTTGCAACCCGCCGCATCTGCCGCCGCCGCACCAGACGATTTATAGTTCATACCCGCAGCTCGTTACGTCTCCTGGTGTGAAATACCGCATCTCTCTCTCTCCCGATGCCCATTAAACACATCCGACCTCACATGCATCAATCTGGCCTATTCAAAATCCAGGCTTGTTTTATATCTCAAAGCGTGTGGGGCTTCGCGGCTTTTCAAGCCGCAAACTCTTTCCTGTTTCCTGCAATGCCAAAAAAGCAGCTTTCCTCTCTCGTCTTTTTCCTTTTGCTTCCACTCGACATGACTTTTCTCGCACCTGATCGCAAGGAACAGGTGGATCACGCAATCTGCAAATTCGAATTACTCTAAATGAGACTAGAAATTTATGAAAAATTGACACCCGACTGAAAGAATAATTTAAAAAAATCATATGGCTCCCTTAAAAGCAAACTATGGTCTGCTTGAGAATAAAAGAGACAGGTGCTTGTATCTGCAATAATAATTTTAGTTAGGACTGAAAGAATGGCTAAAGTTTTTTTTTTATCAGAGGACCACTGTTTTAGGTGTTAAAGTTATTCCGCATTACTTTTGTTTTCACAGAAATTTTTATATTACTCTTTCATATTAATTTCATTCCACATGTTAAATTTTTGATAAACATCATATAAGGCTTGCTTGATGATGCTTGTTTTGCTAACGAGATTATATTTTAAAAACCTAAAAACTTCACGTACCAGAAACCTTGATTCTGAAAAATATTTAATTAAAATATTCACTTAACATTTAAAATAATTTGGAGCCATTTGACATGGCTAATTTATCATTTATCACTATTTTTCTTGTGCTTTAATTTTTTAACATCACTTTTTGTGAATGCTTAAGTAACCAATTTTTTGTGAAGCCTTGAGAAAAGAAAGTCCACTTTTCTTCATTTTTAAAGTTTACGCGTCATTTTTTTTATTATTACTTCCTTCTCTCTCCAAAGGCAGTTCACTCATCGGAAAATTCTCTAGTGCTTCTCAGCTCGTCGTAATGATTGTTATTGTTGTCGTTATTACACGATTTTCAAGAACGCCCGGCCGAAGAAAGAAAGGAAACGAAATGAAAGTTCCTGGCTCCAATGCTACTCGTCGGCAGCGTCGTGTTTCATCCGCCAAGAGCGGCCAAGAGTGACCTTTAAAGGCGGCCGAACGAAAAATAAAAACGAGCGCGTTCCCATCTCGGAGCGATTCGTCATTACGTGTTTCCTCTAAAAACAGTCATTAGGGCATTTCTGTGTGTGTCCCACGGAGGAGTCCAAAGACCCCAAACTTGGGCTGCACGTGCGGGTGGCCGAGCCATCGATATAGGAGAGAAATCAGCGCAGTGCAATTGTTGTTGCCGCAAACAGAGCCAAAAGTTTGGCTTTGAAGGAGAAAACAAAACGCAATGCTTGCCTGCCTGCCTGCGCTCGCTCGAAAACTTCACTTTCCCTTCCGTGAGAAATTATACAAACGCCAGCAGCCAAGTGCACAGTGGCATTATCAGCTCATTGCCCTGTTATCGGCTTCTTGGTACAAAAGTACGCTCTGCACGCCGGAAAATGACTCCGAACCCTGCATGCATGCGTTGATAGTGCTGAAGCCGAATGTGTGTTTGTGCGTCTTATCTGTGCCTTTTACAAAGTTTTGAAAGCAAAAACGCTCAATCAATCATGCAATTTATTTAATTTTTTGGAAATATTTTATAAAACCTTTTTTTTCTAAGTTAAGCCAAATTTATATTTTCTTCAGTGCATACCTACTAACCAAATAATTTTTCTTGAAATTATCGTTTTAGGTTAAATTAAAATTATTAAAATACTATTTTAAAAATAGGTACAAAATAGGTGGTATAAGATGGAAAATATCAAAATTGATAATTTTAAATGGGCGGAAATTAATAAATATTTTCTTCAATAAGTGATTTTTCATCAATTAGGGTACTTTATAGATAACTCTCAAATTGATCCTAAAACCTAAAAATCTTGTGTCTTGGTTTTATAGGTGCATATCAGTTTATTTTGAAAAAATTACATTAATTCGGTGATCAACTATTTCTCCCAAAAAAATATAGTTTTTTTTTTTTAAATATATTTTTTATTTTGTTACACATATTGGAAGCCTTCCAATGGAAGGTTTATTAAATCTCATTGTTATCCTTAATGTGTTACTGCTGGAGAATAATGTTCAGTACTTAAATCAAATGAAAATATTTTTAAAGGAATTTTCAAAACTTCATAACTCAACAGAAATTTCAACACAATTGCTATTTATTCTAAAATCAACTTCAGCATCAAATTATTCAAATCTTTAATTAAAAATATGTTTTAATCAACTTCAGATAGACTGATCGATCGTCAGGGATGTTGAAATTTAAACCATTGCCGATTTCATTAACAAATTAATTAAATCGAGCCATCATGCGGCAACCTCCCTTTCCAAAAGCATCGCCAAGGCGCTCGGTTGCTTCAGCTCGGGCGGTTTCGCATTTTATTATAATTTATTGTCTCCGCTGCGGAAGGCATTCTTGCTTGCAAGCAGATTACGCAAAGTCGCACCTGCACAATCGAACGCAAACAGCAAACAATAATATAAAAAAAAATGCCCGCATGCATCGCAGATTGCACCGAGAGGAAATTTTTTCTTCTCCCAGCGGTGATAAAACATGTAATGAGTTTTGCTGCACGATTGCAGGCGAAGGGCGCAAAACATCGATTCATTGGACGTGCGAAGGTTGGCCGGAAGCTGACCTGTCAGGGTCTTCCTTGGCTACCGTTCTCGTGGCGGCGGCGCTCAGGAAGCCAATTTGGATGCCGAGAGTGAATGGACCCCTGCAAGATTAAGTTTTCGCGCGAGCGAGCGAACTTCCATACACCAAGGTTGTGACTTTGGAACGCCTTATATGGGCGCCGAAATGCTGCTATACCCTATATATAACTTCAGATACTGCTGGAAAAAGACTTAAAGTTTTCGTTTGCGGTCTTTTCAGGGTGAAATGAGAAACGAAACACCAAATCCGTCGGCGGAATTTCGGTTGAAAATGGAAACTGCGGCCACGTGATGTACAATCTCTCTCGTAACTCACTGAACATTTGATATTCCATTCATGTCTAATTTGATTTAATTTGTACGAAAAAAAAAATGCAAAATTTGTAAGGGATTTTGCAGTTTAAATTTTTTGAACACATTTTAAAAACTCGGAAAAATTCCGTGTACTTTAAAAAATTCAAAATACACAAAGTTTTGCAGTTTTTTAAAATTTTAATTATTTGTCCTTGGAAGAATTAACCAAATTTAAATCAGTTAAAATTTATATAATAACTGTGGATGTTTTTTGTTTACAAAGAAAACCATCATTTAATCGTCTTCTTATGTTAATCCTTTATGCTCAAAATAGCAAAGAAAATGCCTGAAACTGTAGATTTTTCTACTTACATAATGGACCTTCATGTACTTGATCAATGTTTATTTATTTATTGTTAATAGACTAGACCTTGGTGGATGGATTATTCAAATGGTCTTTAACTTATCAATTCTGTGATCTTCTGATTTTAAAGTCCCATTATATGACTTGTATATTCAAGGGAGAACATTTTCGTTTCCTTCGACTAAGCTGAACATCGATTTTCGCTCAGCACTTGAGCGATCATTACACCGATTTGTAGAAAACACAGAGAGTCACCAAGGTCCCCGCGGTCATGAATCGTGAGCGTGCGTCCAGAGGTTGCATATTATTATAATGTGCAAATGCGCGGCGCCGCGTGGAGAGCGCAGAGCGAATTCATCAGAAGCGATTTTTCGTTCCCAAGCCTCAAGAGGGAAAACAACGGCTCTCTCGATTATTCAATGCGATAATGTAAATTACGCGTGACCTTAAGGGAAGTATAATGTAATGTGTTTATTGTCCAAGACAGCTGCGATAGAAAGCTATAGGCCGGCGATTGCGTGTAGTATAATGAGTGGCCCTGGGTAGGGCGAGAGAACCAGCTGAAAAGCAGAAATTATAATATGCGAGAGTAAAAAGTTGAATAGCACGTGAGGCAAGCGAGAGAGAATAATGTATAAGTGTCGTTCAAAGTGGAAATAACAATTAGCACTATCTCATGTCGCACGCTTGTCAGCAACATAGGAAAACCGCGATCTTAATTTATGTGCTATAGAATCGATGTGGAACGCCTTGTTTCTGCGCTGCATCACAAATCGCACTTCTTCTTACAATGTGTGCAAATTGTCACCATTTCTGTGTCTACAACGACACTGTATCTTATTCAAGGCTGAAATCTACATAATTATTTATCGTCCTGTCTGATAACTGCTGAGAAATCCATATCTGTGCAAAGAATATCAATAACAAGCATCACAGTTTTATTATGCACGTTTTTGCAAAAAGTGCAATTTTTATGGAGTTGTGATGCAAAATAAATTTCCAGAAATAACTTTGAGAAACCTAATGTTCAATTTTTCATTGATTTATGTTAGAAAATGGGTTGAAACCAAATTAATTTTGAATTTCTGTAAACGTCACTAATACCTTAAAGGTTAAAGAGGCTCTAAAATCAGGGATTTTAAAAATTAAGGCTAAATGCCACTTACCGTCTGGCGTTCAAAGTATCGATTGAATTTACAAATTTAATTAAAATACAATAATTAAAATTACACCACGTTTTATGCAGGATAATCCCAACAGCAATGTATATTTCTTATAATTAATTTTATTTTCAGCCTAATTATAAATTTATCAGTGTTTTTTTTTAATACTATTGCAAAAAAAGTGCTATTTCATCTGAATATTTAATAATCTGTATTTTTCTCTGTTCACAGGCCCACATGCGCTTCCCACAAGACTACCCCTACTCTCCCCCAAGCATTAGGTTTCTAAGCAAAGTTTGGCATCCAAACGTCTATGAGGTGAGTCCCTCTTTATTTTTTTCTCTCAAAAATAGTCCCTTCCTTTTTATGGTTATATTCGGAGGATGGATCGGCTGAAGCGGGTTTATACAAAATGCCATGCAAGCGAGCCATTGTCAGTCTGTCGATTCTCGGCCGGCGCTGGAGGATTCCGTGGAAATGCTCTTTATGTGACCAGCTCGGCGTGACGTCTCCTCTATTTGCTCCGGCTTCTTCTCTCTCTCCACCCAAATCTTATATAATAATTTGTCACCCGCGTTGCCGACCGACGATTGCTGCATTTTGCCTAAACTAAATCTCCGTGTTCGTGGCACGTACGGTCCCGACTCTTTCGGCTCCGCTGCTCGAATAATTCACACCTCCTGCTTGGCTTTTTCAACAACTCGGCGTGGGGGAGAATTTTGATCAGCCTTCCTGCTGCTGCTGCTCTTTCCGAGAGAGAGGCTGTTGTGCAGCTACACGCACATGAATTGCGTAAAGCACCCTTTCCCTAACTGGCATGAAATGAGTTAGCGGGATAATGTTGTTTTCGGTGAACACTCCCTATCCAAGTTCAAGAGGATCGTCATGTAATTATTCGGGGTTGGGAATTGCGGCGTGTTGCTTATTTCAGAGAACGAGATTTGCTAACTTGCCGTCTATTTAGACACGTGGAGGAAATCATAGCGGTGGAAATTTAAGAATTTAGCTTTCTCATTTTTCCAGAAAGACATTGACTTAATATTTTAGTCATTTCATTAATTGGATTTTTTTATAAAGAAATAAAGAAAATAAAGGTTTCCAGCAGGCCAATTTAAAAAAATAAATTCACTTCTAATTTGTGGATTCATCTACATTATTATTCTTAAATCTTGTGTGGTTTTTTAAACACACAAGAATAAATTATGACACCTTAATTTACACGTAATATTAAATTCAAAACACATAAAAGAAAGCAAAATCATAAACTCGGATCCTTTATTGCCCCTTTAAAGACCTTAATCGCCCACTTTTATCCGTCAAATTACTTTACGGCGCCTTCTCGCCCGCCCACGATTCTGGGAAACAAGTCCCAAATGAAAACAAGGAAAATTGTGATCCCAGAATTTATTTCTCCTTTCCCTCTAAGAAATATTACGACTCGTTCTGAAATAAATAGGGAGCAGAAATGTGTGCTCATCAAAACCTCAGAAAGAATCGAGTGCTCGATCTTTGGCCAATCGCCAAATCCAAAACGTGAAACAAGGTCGTTCACTTTCGACAGCTGATCTTGCGACTGATGTTTTAAATAAGGAAAATTTATTTACACAATAGCTTTAATTAGCCTGTTATATAATTTTCTACTTGCAAAAATTTTAATTCATGTTAATAATTTCTTTTCAAATTTACTTCTAAAAATATAATAAAGTAAAGACAGAAAGATTCTCTATACAGTTGGCTGTCGTTTGTATGCAAATTTGGATTATATTCTCTGCGCGTTCTCTTTACATTTCAAAGAGGGAACGAATCATGCAGTGCCACAATTGTGCGCACATATGAGAGGAGCATCTTAACAAGAGAGGTCAATTCGCCGCGTTTTGTTTCTGTATAGCTGCTTTGCGATTCTTGCAACTTGTGCCGCGTGCGCCGCTCGCTTGGCACGTTAAACCGTACAGTAGCAAAGTGCACGTCCGCACACACACACAGGGATAAGCTGCACAATGAGATGCGGAGAAAAGAGGCAAAGAAAACGAGAAGCGCGAGGAGGAAAACGCAAAAAGTCGTGCGCGCTCAATTGCCGTCGGTGCTGCTGCGAAATCGATCCAATAAAAGAAGCCAAAGCCCTCGGCGCGCCACGAAAACGCAATTCTTGCACTTATTTGCTACAAAATCTTGTGAATATATTTCAAACCCCACAGCTTGTTATAAAACAGTTAGAGATTTAAAATTTTAATTTGGCACTTATTACAATAATAATAATAATAATAATAATAAAAATACAAAATAATTTGGACATAACGGAAACTAGTTTGCTTTCATTGTCAGATAATTTATTTTACACAATTTTATTAAATTATTTTAATGTGCTGAACTTTATTGTTTGCCTTTCTCTCCTGTTGTTTTGCAAGAGCAATTGAACGGCACTACAATTGCACACTTTTGCACAACTCTCTACTTATTTTTGTCCCGTTAATTTTCACACACAAAGATTTGCTTGCACACATTTCGCGTGCCGTTCGCCGTTGCTGCGTGCGACGCGATGATGAAAATAAAAGGCCGTCGCCAGAGTGGAGGGTCTTATTTGCTTATTATTATTATTTTTGTTCCTCGAGCTCGCTCGTCATTTCCCATGCGGTGCTCTCTCGCCTGCCTAACTAACTTCCAACTAAAAATAAATTGCTAGCTTGCCTTCTTTCTTGTTGCCCGACATATATATTGTTATTTCGCTCATCACTAGCAGAGTTCATTAAACTTTGCCTCATTTTTTTCATGAGCATCAAAGTGCGTGCCATTTTTTTTTTAATTCATATTTATCCTCGAATCATGATGGAAAATCCTGCAACCCACTGGCTTTTGTGCAATTTAATTGACTCATCGACGATGAAAAGCCTGCAGTTTTGCAAATGGGATGAGGGTTCTGCAGACAATGAAAGAAAGAAAGCACAGAAAGAGAAAATAATTGTTTTGAAATATACGTTTGCCGAGTGGCTGGGTTTATTGCTGACTTTGCAAGAAATATAACGAATTGTTCATGACGTGCTTCCTTGTGGTCTCGACAATGACTGCCGCAGGATGTTTCTCCATTTTTCTTTTTGTCGCCTAGGCAATAAATTTCGAGCACAAAAGATAAAGATCTAGTCTTATTTTAAAGCAAAGTGCCTGTAAATTAAAAATATTTATCAATAATTTTAAAAAGAAATACAATCTTTTTAGTTAAAATAATTAAAGAAATTTTCAACAAATTAATTTCAAGCTTTGCTCTTTGTTAAAATATGAATGCTGTTTAATTTTAAACCCAAAAGTTATATTATTTATTTTTTATTCTGTTTAAAAATTTGAACTTTTTAATTTTTATTCAATGCTAATCAGAATACAGAGTTTGACATTTTACGGTCGAGCTAGTTGACGGCAGGTCAGTGGCCTGCGCCGGCCGCGTGTATTAACCGTGACCAGTCAGCTTCGTTTTATTGCACTTTCCTATGCGCCGCGGCCGTTTGTGTGCTTTTGTTTTTTATTATAATCGCACCAGCTGGAGGAGAGAGGAATGAAGTTGCTGCTCCGTCTATCATCAAATGACAAAAGCGCATGTTTCCATCTCACAGACTGGACGTTTGATGCTGTACTGCATGGAGAAGAAGCAGCAGGGCGGCTTCATTAAATATTTACCGCCAGTGTAACGGCGGCTATTTCTGCCCGAGTGGCTCATTTTCGCCGTGCTTGGCCGTTTCGTCGCAAGAGATGTGAATCAGATGCCCGTCTTATGTTTTCCCTCAAAGTAATGGCAACTTAACAGTATTCTCAGTTAGATCAAGATGATTTGCAACAAGAAGATTTGCCTAGAAAAGAGGACAATAGAATTTTTAATTAAGAATTTTAAAACTATATTTTGTTAAAATTAAATGTGACATAACTTAATCAATTGAAAACTTAAAAATTATATTTATTCTAACCAATTTTTTCAAAATTTTCTAAAAACAAAAACTTTTTAACTATTTTATTTTCTTTATATTAATTAATTTGAAGTGCAATCGAATTTTTTTTTAGAATTTTTGAATTTATATATTTTACTGGCACCATTCAAATTGTCAAAACTTTCACTTTTTTTTTTAATTTTGGAAATGAAGACATAAACTTTAAACTTGCCTGATGAGAATGCGCCCTGACAAAAGACTTTTACCACTGGAATAATGAGGTATTTTTGTAGAGGAAAATATTCCAGCGTCGTTCCTTTCGCTTCTCTGCACGCATTGCGCTAACACAGGATGGATTTTTTTACTTTTGCCCGACTCGCCCGCCGGTCGCTGCGGTTCAACGCTCCCAAACCAAAAGCTAAGGAGCGGGACCTGTTGGTATACTCAAAAAGAGCACGAACTGGAAACTGCTCAAGTGAAAATAAAAGTAATTACATGTAAATTATTTACTTATAATAATGAAAAATATTCTGAAAATCAAATATTTCAAATAATTTGCACTAAAATTATGATTTTCTAGTTTAAAAAAATTATTTAAAAATTGATTAAATTACTTTTTTATAGTCTTTGAGCAAAATGTCTATAATTCTCATTACGAGGCCGCATCCCTGCAATGCATCAAAGTCACCTCCAAAGATGATCGATTTGCTCATCCGAGTCCAGTTTCAGACTCTTGTATATCAGGAAGATAAACACGCCGATTAACATCTGCTTTGATAAAAACGGCACTAGTGGTGCGTGCGAAAGAATCAGCCGTGCGTGCGCGCGTTTGCAAATAAATAAACACATAATTAGAATAATGCGATTACGGCGGCGAGTGTGATGTTGCACTTGACGCTAGCTGCACTCGACAGATCCAGTTCTTTTTGGTCCGAGAGGTCTTGCAGAAAAAAAAAAGAAAAACAGTGTCACTCAAACGTCGGTGCATTTTCCAGCGGTTCGCCTTGCACGCGCTTGAGAAAAGAAAACCTACCTGACCAGGAATAATTAAATTAAATTATATAGAAAAGAGAGAGAGAGATGAACTTCGCAAGAATCGTGACTCGGCTTTAATCATGTGCAGATTCGCATTGTCGCATTATTACTGAGCAGCGGTAGCTGATGATGGTATATGAAAGTTGATTGACTTTTATTTTTCTAAATTGGAAGAGACAGGAGTGGAAACCTGAGGTGAATTATAATGAGGAGAGGAGAATTAGTTTGCCCTACAATTGGAATAATGGATATTTACAATTTTACTAAAATTTGATTTTTTTTTTAGGGTCAGTCTGTTGTATTTCTATGCAGTTTTTTTATATTCACTTGTACTTATGGCAATTGTAATCATTCACAAGACCTTCCTGATACCTT